GGGTCCTGGCATAAACGCCGCCGAAACTGGATTCGAGGTCGACTCCTAGAAATCCCTCTGGCAGTAGACTAGACCACAGGGGCCAATTACGAGAGCAAGAGGGAGAGGCTGGGTAGGGCGTAGTTAGAGACGCCAGGATTAACCCTCTAGCGGCCCTTTTTAACCCTCAAATGATGTTGCTCTTGGCTACCAACCCTTACGGAAGAAGCGGTACGATGAAACGAAACCTGGCATATCATATATCGCGAATAACGAGTAAAGAAACACCATGCAGCATATTCGATATCAGAATCAAAATTGGCAGAAAAAAATTTTTTCAAAATTTTTCACGTTACATCACCAATTTCTACGCGGTTAAAGATTCCAGGTCCTGGTCACATAAAATTACAAATGGCGGATGGATTAAAACTACCCATCGGTATTTATTAACCGGTATAAAAGCTCGTAGAGCCAATTTGTGAAGTTCCAGGAAGCACGTGACCCAAGCCAGAATTAGCACTGATAGGCAAAGAGATAAAGAAATCCTATAAATTAGATACGATAGGTGCATAGATAAGTTAGCGTGACGGCCTTAAGGCGTTCGGAAAGCAGATGCATAGGAACGGGTTGACATCGAATGCTGCAGGCTAGAGTGGCTCCACGACTGAGGTTGCACGGAACGTGAAAAGCTACACGAGGCGGAAAGTGGAAAAGGGAGAGAAAATGTGAGAGTGAGAGAAAGAGAGAGAGAGAGAGAGAGAGAGAGAGAGAGAGAGATGGTAAGGAAGAGAATGAGAAAAGGAGAAAAACACAGTAAGGTAGCTATAGCCGCGTGGGCCCTCGGCGCACATACGACACATAGAATAGTAATGAAAGTCAGAGATACGAGGCGGGGTCTCACCCCAAGGGAGAGAACGACGCCCGAGCGTCGTTGTCACGCGAGAACACGAGCAGCTGACGTTCTCGGACTCTCTTTTGTTCGCTCGTAGCCACCCTTGCAGTTCCGAGCAGTTCCGAGTCTTTCGCACCCTTCGGACCTGGAAATTCGCGAGCTTTAGGACTTCGGCTTGAATTCGTATACGCCGAAGACACGGGGTTCGATTGGGTATCTTTTACTATGGTTAAGCTACGAACAGTCGCTAGCCAATGGCTGTGCTTGGATTTTACGAACACGACACGCGATTGGCTGAGAGCTATTGGCTCTGAATCTTCGCTATGGTAAAAGATACGCAATCGATTGTATGATATTTATTCACTTATATCGTAATACAAAGACAGAGGTTGGTGGTGGCCTGAAGGAAATTTGAAAATTTTTTTTTGACTCCAAAAATTTTTATTCCAAATTTGATTTTTTAGGAGACAGTTTGAAATTAGGAGTTGCTTGGGTACGACGTTGAACCGGGGGCTGATTTCTTGGTCACGTGAGGCGATTCGCTTGGGGCTGTAAGAGGCGCCCAGCATCCGGGGCCTGACGTGATCCAGAAAATAATTATGACGATTATAGAGTGGCGAGGGTTATTGGAACTTAGAAGATGGACGTTGGGGGGGAGGCGGCAAGGGCCTCACGGAATGTCACTTTCTGACTAGGGTGTGTTGCCCTCTGCAATTATATCAGCCGCGTAAGGCCCACGAGGAAAAGTAAGCTTTGAGGTGGTCCCTGTGAATGGACGGAGAGAAAACAAAGGAATAACCGAATGGCGGCAGCTACCCCTGTGACGTTAGGGGGCGGAAGGATACGGACCAGGAAGGGTGTGGTATTATCCTTCGTAAAAATAATCGCGGATCCTGCCGGAAATTGGCATAGAAATTAGGACCGAAAATTTGTAATTTATCTGTTTCCTGGGGAAAAAATTTTTTTTAATTTTTTCGAAAAAAAAAAATCCGTTTCGAAAATCTCCAAGCGCGGAACCCTCTGAGAACATCGGGTACCGACGTACGAAATCCGACGTGTAAGGGAAGACGAGAAAGTCTCGGATAAAAAAGGGAACCAATATGGCGGCGAGTAGAAGATAAAGTGGAGCACGGGGAAAAAGAAGATCCGAAGAATCTTTATCGGAGAAGGTATATTGGACGCCGCAAGAAGTCCTTTGATGAAAAACAGAACCTGATCCGGCTGTAATGACTTCTCCTCTCTATGCATCGATAATCAATTCGTTACGAGTCACAATGGCGGCTCGCTTCATCCAATCCTATAGAGTCCTACCATGGCCGCCGAACCGTTCATCCATTTTTCGAGCACCCACTTCCTCCTGTACCTCTTTTTTTTTCATTTTCAGATTCTTGTTTCCTCTTTTTTTTTTATTCACCCTCCCACCCCACCCGACCACGTTACCATCATTTCTTTTTGTCGTCCTCTGTCTCCTCCTACAGTCAAAAAAGTCTTTTTGTTATGATCGACCGGAACACGGTGGGACGTCACTGTCTGAGAATCGGACAAGGCCCTGACAAGACATTTGACTTTGAGTGGCAGCCCGATCAAACGATTCACCGGGCATTAATTTGTCTTATATATGTATAGTGAATATCAAGTGAACTTATGGCGAACCGAATGCCACGTGGCTACCCACGTTTATTTTGCACAGATATAAGACCCCCCATTGCCAAAGACTTGACGCGTCCAAATATCGAGGTTTGTTTGTAAAATTCTATAGGGTGATCCAAAAGTATAGTTCGGTTAACACTGTACGAATTTACATGAACGAGATGAACGAGTGTTTTGCTGATAAGCCTTATCGGATTTTTATTTTTATATATATCATTGTCCCTTAAGATGGTCCATCTCAGCTGTCCTTTTGTTACAGTGCATATTAAGACCGTCTAAAAATAGATAACGATTTCAGTGGAGAACCGTAAGAATATGGGATAGAGAACGCGGTCAAACAATGTTTGCCGGCGACGCCCACCTATATTCGCCCTGGCTTTTACTGCCGGGCAGTAAACTACGAAAATTACGATCAGCGCTTGTCACTGCTTGAGGCAACTGCGAAACTCCAAAGCCGCTATGCATCGAGTGAACCTATACGGACATAGGAATTGCGCAAGTGGTAAAGTTCGGAGAAAAGGAGAATAAAAGGACAAATTGCGGGTGAAACGAGGTAAAAAAAAAAAATTGAAAAAAAATTTTGCCAATAAAAGAAAAACTCTATACGCGAGTGTAAGACATAAAAAAAAAATTCAAAATTTTTTCCAACAAATTTTTTTAATCTCACTCGCCCGTTCAAGTCGATCCTTTAAAGCGTAATCGCGAGGCGCTATCAGCTTTAGGAAATTGACCCGTTTTAATCGGCCACGACGTGCTCTTCGGTCTAATTGAGTGGCATTTTATTTAGCGCAGTTCTCCGCATTCTGGATAGCTGGCATTTACCTCAATTACGTAATTCAGCGTACAACAACCATACCGTCTGGAATCGTGGTACCTGGACGCACCGCTGCTGAAGTCCTCCTACTGATGACACGTGTTTGCCTTGCCGCCGCCGTGCAATTAACCCATGGAGTAATTTCGCGAAGCTCCGCCACTGGGATAAGCGTGTGCTGCTATTTCGGTGCTTAGCTACCCCCGCACATATAGTATTATAAATAGCGTAGAAATGGGTAAATTACCTGAAAAAAAAAAAAATTTTCAAAAATCATACAAATTCCAAAAAAAATAAAAGTTACAAATAAAACCCGAAAAATTTATGTAAATTCAAAAAATCATCCGTTGCGATTTTTTTAATAGAAAAATTTTTTTTTTTATGTACAACGTATATAGTCAATTTTTATATATAGAATTTATGGGGTCAAAGGTATCAATGACGAAATCGAAAATTGAGGTCGAGCGTTCGTTCGGAACGAAGTCATCTTTGTGGGCCATTGATGTGAGGTGGTTGGGTTGGGTTGGCTGATACTGTCAATGGTGGCATTGTTCTTTTACCGTACACGGGTCATTAGTCCTATGGCAATGGTGTGACTTAATTGTACCTTGACGCATATTACGGGCAGGTTCGCTAGAAGTGCATTTGAAAAGAATCGCGCGCGGTTTGCAGTGATTACTTAGTCGCTCGGTTGGTTCCCATGTGGACGTTGTGTACGTAGACGGTGGATACCGAATGGCGGTGCTGGTAGCGAGGATTAGGAAGGTTGGTGAAAATTCGAGGTTGGTGGGGAGGATAAAGGTTAAGAAGGTGGAAGAGAGGTTTATTTAGTCGGGAACAGAACCCGCGTGGCCCAAGTGTAAATTGCCTGACAGGTTGGGAGCAATCAGATAAGACTACAAAGTCAACATTGTCCTTTCGTAATTGCCTGTCGACTCTGGTCCTAATTGGTTGTCGTGAGATTCACCTCGAGCAACCTCGAGCACCAATAGTACCGACCCACCCATTTGGGTCTGTCGAATCGATGACATTGGTAAACAAGTTGGAGAACCAGAAAGGTCATGGGTGAAAAAAATTTTTTTTTTTTATATGTAAAATTAAAAAAAAAATAGTCATGATTTTGATTGATTGAGATAAGTGAAAAAATTGAAAATTTTACTGAGCAATTTGGAAGTGGTCAAAAATTATTTATTCGTGAGTCACCGTATATGTGGGTGTCCGGTATAAATGAAATATGGGTAAAAGTGCTTTTTGAAGACAAGTGGTATATTTTCCCGGATAGAGAGTAGAGGAGCGTATTCGCTGGATGTAACGCTAGATGTAACCACAGGTTCGTCGCAGCTTCCGGAATCGGTGAGGGCCACTAAAATTTCCGCGAGCTTCCCGCAGAAATCCTGAATTCCCCGGTCGTGTGTCGGTTCAGGTAGTGAGAACACCTTTCCCGGTGCCTGTGGGTCTGGGTGGGCGTGGCCGACGGAGGCCACGCCCACCGACACCATAATGGCCTCCAGTGGGCCAATAGGAGCTCTCAACGTCACGGGGCCGGAGTGGGGCGCTCGCGCCTTGGCCAATGACGCGCGTGGCATTTCCCTCCTGGGCGTGGCCGAACCGTAGCGCCACCGTGGCCGCTCCTGGTACCCGTGGCTCCACTCGGGGAGAGGCTCGGGCTTCATTATGTATCATTATACCGGTCCGCGCCGCGCGGTGTGCACTGCAGTTACTAGCCAAGCGCGTGTGTGTTTCCTCTCTGTTGGTGCTGAGCCCGCAGAAAGCGTGCGACGCGCGTGTTAAAATTTTCCGAACTCTCGTACGAAAATTCTTTCGTACTTTTCGTAACCGATCGTGCGTGAGTAGATTTTACGATACTTGGAAATTAAAAGGGTGGATGGAGTAAGAGTGAAAGAAAAAGGAAGTTTTGGATCCAAGTGACTTTTCGCATAGCGCCTTCGAAACGCAGCGGGAAAAAAGTAATCGTGAGGTGGTAAAAATTTCATTGGACGACGCATATATATCCCTGACTGTCTCTTCGTTGTTGTCCTTTTTTTGGTCTCGCTCTCTCTTACACGGCCCGGTTAGCATTCGAAATTGCAGACAATTGTTACAAATGACCGGTAATTACGATTGTTGTTGGAGGACATAGGCATTACTTGGCCATCTAATTTCAACCCTTCCTCTGAATCCTCGCGCTTACACACAAAGTGCTACGATCACTTAGACTGATCGAAACTGGTCGCAGGAATTTATATTATTGGTGGATTTTCGCGGTTTTACGTTGGGCGTCTGCCTCGAGGAAAATTAGCCTTGGGCTTTAGTTTGAGAGCAGCTCTTGGACTCTTCGGGCACCATGCTGACCTTCTTCTTCTATTCGAAATTGTACCTGAGGTCGAGACGAAATTTGGCGAGCTGACGTTTGAATATCGAACAGTTATGGTCCATGAGGTATTGAAGTCTTGAACTTGGTGTTTATGATATTTCATTAATTGCCTCATTAATCTTCCCAAAGTGAACCAATTCATTTTCTCCCTCTTAATGTTCCTCTCGTTCATGCTGGTTCCTCGTTGACTGGTGCAATCCATTAGAAGAACTCGCGGGTGATGTGTGTTAAGTGATACAAGATCATATACCAGAAGAGCAGCTACTCGAAGATCGTGTTGCTCCTGATTTTCTTGAAAAAAAAAACGTAAACCAGGTTAAAACGTATCATTACGCGTGATACTCGGAAATAGTCAAGAAAATTTCATCCCGTCTTCGATCGATCGAATGTGCATCGAGTGTCACGTGACGAAATCGATCAAGTGATTACGAATGATAACAACGAAGCTACAAGGAGTATAAAAGTGTCCGAATCGTTCTTACGTGGTCATAATAATGATAAACGATGATAATCGAAGACTGAACGGAGTACCAGAGTAATAAAGGAGAGGGTGATCCGTCGGGAAAAGAAGTGACAATAAAGAGCGTGAATAATAAAGAAAAAAAAAAAAATAAATAAATAAATAAAATAAAAAAAAGAGGAAGATTCACGGAAAGATTAATTAATTAAGAAAACAAAGAGTACTCGGTCCAGCCGCAAAATTCGGGCGCCGAGCGGTATCGCGTCGGCGACGTCGGCGACGGCAAGGGGTGGCTGCGGCGTCGACGTCGCGTCTAAGGTGGAGCGTCCGGGCAGCACGACGACGCTCAATTTTACGGATCTGGGGAGCCCATTCGGGGCGGGCGACCCCTGTCCGTCTAGCACCCCGACCCCCAACAGTATGTCCGGTGGTCCATCCGGAGGTGCTGGTGGCGGCGGTGGTGGTTCCGATATGGAACAGCATCTTCATCATAGTGGACTTGGTTCCGTAACACCAGGTCCACCCGGGAACGGTGGTGACAGTGCTTCTAGTACTCCGGTGTCCCAGTCTGGTAAATCAGCATTCATTGAACTTCAACACAATAATCTTTACAATCCCGCCAGTCTACGCGGTGGATATCCCGGTGGACATAACGTACCAGGATCTCATCAGTTCCCGCACCAGGTCGGCTCCCTGGGACACCAGGGCTCGGGTCCTGGAAGTGGGAACCAGCAGCATACGGAAACAGGATTTCCAAGTCCCAGGTCGGCTCTTGCTGGATACCCTTTTGCACCGATGCACCAGCATAACGCCTATGGATACCATCTTGGCTCTTACGCCCCCCAGTGCCCCTCGCCGCCCAAGGACGGTGAGTACCCTAACTGTATGTATTCCACATCTTTCTTTATCTTACGTAGACTTAAAGATAATCTTAAGAATCCAGGTTACCGTAGCTCGACCCTTGCTCCAGTTGATTCAAATTTAATTTTCGAGGTTAGCCTGTATCCTTATGCCAAACCTATGATAAAATGCAAATCGTCCTTAGGCTCTGGAGATATGGGATCGAGGTCGGAAATCTTGGAACACGAAACAGAACCGGCGGTACCAACCGATACTCTATCGGCATGCGATTCCAATCGATCCATCTTGAGCTTGCTTTCGTTCGCCATACGTATATGTACTGTGTCTGTGGACAAAAATAGAAAATAAAATTTTCTCATAGCCTTAATCGCGCTTAGCTTTCTTAAGGTATGGCAGATTCTTTAGAATTTTTGATTTACTTGTCATCAAGTTGGCTACTACACTATCCGGTTCTGTCTTAGAGCGGCGGACGGAGAATGAAGTCGTAAACTTCAACGACTATGGTCCTATGTTACCCAAGAAAGATTTTTGCCAGTTTTATTTTTCCATGTCTTTTTTCTCTTTTACTTACTTTCTTGCTTTCTCTCTCTATTTGGCTTCTATGCTAATTCGAAGAAAAAATGAAATACGGAATCTGGAATAGCAGGTAGCGAAGCGGCGGTCGACGCCCTGGCCAGGACACAATACCACAGAGAGATATATAGCATCGGGTGCCAGGTGAAGTCCTGAAAAATAAAATGGCTCAAGTACTTTGGCAAAAAATCTCTCCCTGCTACGACAAATAGAGGCCTTTGTTCAGACGGCATTCGATACGACAATAGGCAACTTCAGATTGCTGTAAAATCGTTAAATTTTCAATACGTCGTATATGCAATGAGACTTATCGCAATTTTTATTTATTGGTATATTATATGTATCCATGGATACAATTTTTATGGAATCTTTAAAAAAATTATCAAATTTGACTCGTCCAAGTGATCAAAAGAAATTAATTTCGCCACCATATATGTAAAATATAGAGTTAACATTAACAATTTCTTAGGCTATGCATGACGGTAACAATTTTTATAATTTTCTTTTTGACATATCCAGTCGTTTCCAATCGAAGGAATTCAAATGGAAGCAAGGATAGCATGTTTTTTTACACCCTTTGTTCACTCATGATCTCCGGTCCTGCTCTATTTCTTATATCAGCGGATTAATAAAATTCCGTGTAGCATGATAAAAACGATAAGCATTGACCATTATCATGTCAGTCAAGTATTACTCTTTGATCTTGACGAAATTGCTTACCATAAATAAGTAATACAAAATAGAAGAAGGGTTATGAGGAACAAAGTTGAAAATGTTAGGTTAGGGTTACATTGTCGTACAAGTATGAAAAATATATGAGTATCGATAATAAATGCTGTTGATAGAGTAACAAATTGATAATAAATAAGAAAAATTGCTATAAGCATAAGATATTATTGATACAAATAAAATAAATGGTTTTTTTTTTTCGTGTTGATTGTAAAGTTTCTGATAAACAATAATAAGTGTTTTATTATTATACAAGAAGTCTTGACAATGATCCAAGCGTGTTTCTAATTAATCGCTTGTTAAAAGTCTCAAAATGTCTCGATTTGTCCGATTGCCCAAGAGATAATATTAAGATACAAAATATGTCCAATATGTCGGGACCCTTTTCAAATGGTTGGACGATACTGTCGACTGACTCTCTGTAGGACGTCACACTAGCCATTTAATTAATTGAATAATACATCACGTTAATCGGGAACTCAGTTAATTGCCAGTAGGCACGCCATTGTTTACCCGTCGCTCTTTGAACCCCTTTCGATTTGTAAATTCCGAGTTCGCAAATAAGCACGGGAGATACGAATTGATATGTGAGGAAAAGCTAACCTAACCGTAATTATACCCGCCTGGCTAATTTACTTAATACGGTACGATTAATTTTTGAAGATCAACTCTCTGTGTGACTAAAGAATTGTACCAGTTTTCGAAGACGACAATTCGATAGATAGGATAATGTTTTGTATATGTATAATGTTTTTTGTATGTATGTATGTATATGTATGTATGTATGTATGTATGTATGTATGTTTATGTATGTATAATGTTTTTTGAAAAACGTCTAATTACTGTAGTAGAAAAATTGACAATACCCACCAAAGAGGTTGGCGAGTTACTATAAAACTATTGAAAAGACAATGCACCAGGCTCTACGACTATGGATTAAATATTAAATATTATTTTTACAAGGATTAGGATCTGTCTGGACTTACCTAGGGAATCCTTACTCCTGAAGAGGATCCAAAGGATTAGTAACTAACCTCTGGGAGGATTAACGTGGAAGTCGTGTTTCTTCTAGATCTTCGATAAAGTTTTTCCGGAATTTCCATCTTTCTCATTGTCATGTTAAAGCCGCCATCGTAGATCAGTGAATCAGGGTTAAACGAGACTTGAAAATCGAGTGTGCATTTTAGTGTTCGATAATGTCGACTCGACGCAGATCGACTAGAGACTCACGTCCCGACGTTGGAACATAGTAATCCTGGTAATTGACCGTGCTAGTATCGCGATGAGCCACAATTAATTAGCAAACTGATTAAATCGTACAACAGTCTTACGGCTCGCGAGTAACAGAAGAGACAGTGAAACTTTGTGAAATATGAAGGAGAAGAACGCACGAGAGATATAAAAGAAACGGAAGGAACAAGTGAAAATTGGAGGTTACTTTGATAGTCTTGCAACATGGGTCATTTGACTTTATGAATTAAATCTCAGGATAGCTAATAGCTCGTAACTTCTTCGCTTTCAAACGTTCCGCTAGCTGTACTTATCGTCGAATTTAATTACAACACACAAATCTCTTTCAATTAACGTACACTATTAATTGGCAAAACAGGGAAAAATTCAAGTACCTGTCAATTGCCTGGAACCTTACCACGCGCGTCAAATTAACCGCAAATACAACAAATCACTAATTAACAAAGCACTCGTTCAAACACAGTATCGAATAAATTCCAGCAAGTAACAAATTCAACCATAAAATACGTTACGAGTGACGACGAAGCGTTCCTTATTCGGCAGCGCGGTACAAAGACTGGTGGCGCCATCGGTAGTTCAACAAGTTAATTACCATTGAACGGATTATCAAGGGTACGTTCTTACGTAGCGCTACGTTAAAGTTCGTTCAGGCTTGCAATAAATTCCGACATCGGAGCTACCGCACGTCAGGTTCGACCGCGTTTCTATTAATAAGTCGCAGGGCGGGCAGGCAGTGCCGTCGTACGTTTGCTATCGCCGGCAAGATAGATGCCGTCGCGTCTTATCAATAATTTATTCGTGGCTAAGCAAATAGGTAAAATTTTATACGTAACAGAGCACACCATATATCCTTCCTTTTAGTTTAGTTCTCTTTAGTTTTGTCGCAACCAGTGATAACGCGGATTCTGAAAGTTGATATCAGGGTGGTGCATGTTCGCAGACCTCTCACCGCTCGGCGACAAAGGCGGAAGCCTCGTGGACGATCTAGGAGGCGGTGGCGGTGGTTCCTTGCGAAATGGCAAAGGAAAGAAAATGAGAAAACCAAGAACGATCTACAGCAGCCTACAACTTCAGCAATTGAACAGGCGATTCCAGAGGACCCAGTACCTGGCACTTCCGGAAAGAGCAGAACTCGCAGCGAGTCTTGGACTCACGCAGACGCAGGTTAGTTTCGTCAAACAAAATACACTCAAACCTGTACGAAAGCGCCGGAACATTCTAGGCTATTAAAAACAATATGGCGGACTCTCGTTACATATCCTGCCCACACAGTCACCCTGTGTAGCACGTAATACGAAGCTTTGACCATAGGGGCATCTGTCAGCGCATTATCGGTACAAATGACTTACTAAATCATTAATCCGCCACGCCCTGGACGCAGGAGATAGAATTACGTTAGTGTCCAGTGCGGGTGGTCTAATGAACCAGCCATAAATTCCATCTTTGGTCATCCGATGCTGAACTCCAGCGTACACCCAGTGCACGTTGCCAGGACGACAGGGATTTTAAATCAGCAGCCCTTTCACTCTGTACACCATATCCGCATACAGTACAGGATATAGAATACACAATTTACGTCAGGCAATTAGTACAGGTCGTAACGATCCCTCAATTAAAAACAATCCTATGCAAAGACAATATTCTCAAAGTAAAAAAAAAACCCCTAAACAACGATTCCTATGACAGAAGTATTTTCACTAAAATATTTACAGTATAAACATCCCGATAACCCAGGCTATAATCATTGAGTAACCGGCACTGGTTACTGGTCCATGTCAAAGGGTACCATATACCGGACCGGATAATTTCATTAGCCCACACCAGATATAATTCCCCCCATGATGAAAACCCAGTCGCAATATATCGTGATTAGTCTAAGTGACCCTATCGTATATACGTATCCACCATGCGTATACCTATTATACATACGTTCCAAAAATTCAGTAGGATCTCATCCCGATAATACGTTTTAATATTACCGTCGGAGAGATTCCCTCCAGGCCTGCTCCGCAGCATCCATTTACATCTTTACCTCTTTATACCACTTTACTCCTCTCATCTCACTATGGCCGACTAACACTCCTTTCCCTCTCACCCTCTCACCCTCTCTCCCTGCCTCTCCCTCGCTCCTTTCTTCCTGTATGCTGCCGTGCATTATCCCAACGATAGCAGGGCGTGTATCCAACGTCGTCCACGTTCACGGCAGCTCGTGTACTTTTACGGGAGGCAGCGTGCATAATCCGTAATCGCCCAATCAAGGCGTTCGGCCAAGCGCCTCGACTCAGCCCTGCTACCGTCACTCGTTTCTTGTCATCGCTACCAACATGGCGCCTCCTTGTCCTGGACTCACCCATCTTCTGCGGATGCCCCCCCCCTCCCCACCCTCCTCTCAGTATATCTCTCTCTTACCTGAAACCAGCCTTTAGGTATTGTACTCAGTGTAGGGTCGCTACCTAAGACATATATATATAGCGAAGCCATTGCACGTGGGAATTTATCCCTACTGTTTATGACCGTAACCTTGAAATGTAAAATTGCAGAATAGAAAAATATTTTGAAATTTAATATTAAATATTTTGAATTATTATTTTTTCTTTATTATTGCACATCGGAATTTTAATTTTCGCCAATGGTTTTAGACATTGGATTGGTATCACTGACTTTGGATTTTGGATTTATGCACGGACTGTATCCAGGGTCTTTCGGTGTGGTGTATGCTTAATGCATGTCCGTGATGTCATCCCTGGGCTTTAAGACTATGGGGAGGGGATACGGTTCACTTTCAGCACTCTGGTAGACAATGCGTTATGGATGGGCAGGACGAGTGCCGTTTAAAAAGTAATACATAAACCACCAATCGATAAGGGTGAGTTCACATCGCAGTCGTATAAGGGCGTCTGGGAGAAATTCGAGGACGATTATTTATTTGCGTATGCCTTACGTACTCGCGTGGTCTCTTCGTGTATGCCTAAGAGGTAAAATGATTGTTTTGAAATATACATATGTGTCTTTTCTTTATTCGCGGCTTTTCTTTATTGCCGGTGGGGGAAGAATGGGGGACCTAGGCACATTTTTGCTAATGGATGAACGATCCAAGAAATGGTACTTGCGCTACTGTTTATCACTATATGCTATCACTGTGGATGGATAGAGCGACCGATATGCATTGCAATAAGCATGAGTGCATCTACAAATGCACTTTTGGATACACGTGTATATCAATTGGGTACAACTGTGTGACGTTATATGGTTTATGCTGTGTTTCTATATATATTGAAGATTTGTAGCGTATACGTCATATGTGAACTATTCAAATGTCCAGTTTTGCTGTTTGGTCTGGTCTGGTTCGACTTGGTCTTATAATATAGGTCGTTTTAATCGGTAATTAACGTTATCGGATTACAAGTGGGAAACGTTCCTTACGATTTTTGTGGTATTTATCGAGACAATTATTCGTTTGAAATTTAACTACTTTGTATATTAATCGGATTATCTAGTAATTTCAATTTATGTGATTTGGATAACGTGCAATTAGCAGCCTAATCGTTTAATCCCATGTCGTTACTCAATCTACGAGATATACCACGTGATTCGAAGTAATCCAATATGGCGGCGGATATACAAAATTGCATGTAGTCGAGTCATGATATATCCCGATAAAACAGTCGATATTAATCGAAATCGAATTTTAACTAGTCCCATATCTAAATTCATATTCGTTCCTTTTGAAAACGTAATAAAAACTTTTGATAAGCCCGTTAAATGCGAGTAATCCTATTGCAAAAATCCCAGTCGAGTTTGTCTAACGATAATTCCATGAAAATAGCGAGACTGTAATATCACGTGCTTTCTCAAGTATCAAAACTTTGTCCACCAGGTCAGTCTTGCCAACCTGCACATGAAACTTTAAGCGCAGAAAAACTTGAGCAAGGAAAGCGATTGCGGCCTTTTTCAACGCAGCCAACCGACATTGAACCAGCTTATCAGACTATTATCCTATTGGCACTGGCCTGTGCCATGCGTGTCGAGATAGGGACGTGTCCAGCTGTGTCCGTCGGTTCGTTCGTACAACAGGCGCCATTATCGACGGACAATAAAACTAATAGGACTTCGACCGTTCCGTTCCTATCGGCTTCTATCTGTCGACCGCCATCCACTGTGACTTACAAATGGGAAAGTTTTGCTGAACGGCACGCGATCCTCGGCCATTAAGGATGGATACTGACATAACTTCCTCGTTTTCCCGCATGATCTCTCCTGGCGCTAGGAGTCGTCTCGGTGGCTTCTTTTTACGATTATTCGATGTTCCTTGGCATATATCGACACAAAAGCCTTATCGGTATACTTCTGTCTCTATTTTCCGTTACGAGTCTCTACTGCGCAAGTGCGAAAGTGTCGCGCTTGCTGAAAATGATACTGAGTAACTTTGTAAATATATATCTCTAACGTTATCTATCTACATGAATGGTACATGACTACTTGTTACAGTATCAATCTGCATACTACACGCTCCATATGCGCCATTCACGTAACATTTCCACTTGAAGGTTTCTTACGTATACGAACCCGTAACTAATTAATGATGTCAGAGAAGGTGGCTGCGTAGGTATACACTGCGTGGCGGAATATCAACATTTTTATATTGAATGTCAGTAACGTGATAAGAGAAATATCGATTATCGATACCGTAAGGAATATCGAATCAGACCTGGATACAGCGTCTAGAAATATTGTAATTTAAAGATTTTATTAAATCTTTTTTTTTTTTTAAAAAAAGAAAAATGTGAATCGTACACGATTATCAGATAAGATTTCACGTTGATAAAAGGCAATGGCGTAGCGTACGCGAACTTAAAGTTAATGAGCTGTCATGTCAACCTACGGTATCCGTGCGCCGGCATAGATCTCAGGATCGCCGCAAGGCTTTTCCGTGTCTCGGCTTTGGCTTTTAACATTATTATGATCGGCAGGACTTCGTAGAGCGGCACTTCTCGTTCTTCTTTTTTTCTATTTTTTTTTTCTTTCTTTTCTCGCTCGCTCTCTCTCTCTCTCTCTCTCTCTCTCTCTCTCTCTCTCGCTCGCTTCTCTTGATTTTTTGGCCTTTTTTCCCCTCATATATCTAACACCGCTCACGAGCTGGTATCACAAAGTATAGCAGGTCTCGACTTCCATAGCGGCGTCAGGGCCACCGTCGCTGACTCCCGATATTAGAAAGTACCGTGCGAAACGGCGGAAATGCGATTTCATCGGATCGTTAAGAACTTTTCACGTAAACTTAGAAAAACTGCCAAATTCGTGATAACTTTTCTTCGGTGTAGAAAGCATGCGGATAACTCGGTTTTTGTATCTCATATAATTCTAGGCTCCGTATGTCGGTTAGCTTTGCGCGAAGGGATTCGCTTTTAGAAAATCGCGCGAGATACGCGCATGGCGAAGAAAGATCGTCACGGGAGAATAATTATTTTCACGCAGAGTAATCAGGAGGTGAACTGACGTCCACGACCTCCCAGCACGCCAAATGCCAATAGTTATTATTAAGAACCAATAGCCGTTGTTTGCTGAACGTTATATGGTAAAAGTGAAAAAGGCACGAGCGTGTCCAGACAAAAAAGATCGTTCTCACGGCACACGGCACTCAGATACTTGATGTATTCAGGGTATATAATACTTATATATATATATATTTCCTATGCGCGGCAGCACTTGTGGATACCATTTTTATCTATGTTAGGCTATGAGGTTTCCAAGAAGCCATTGCCCATATGGGTGCTGTGAGAGAAAGAGAGAGAGAAACTTTTTGCAGGACTTCGATATTATTGCTACTAGGTATGCACGTTAGAAATAATATAGGTTATGCTGTAATAAGCAGGTACGCTTTAGCCTCTGCCATCGTGTTCTCCATGAAGGAGTACTTACTCTCCTGATAGATCTGTGCAGATATGTCTTTGTGTTCGTAAAAACATCAGTAACGCGTTGACGTCTCTCCTCTCCTCTCTTTCTTCTGGTACTTCCGGTTCCTTGGTTCTTTTACCGATTCTAAATTCAATATGGCGGCGATGCGAGTTTTTGATTAATCCCGTTATATCAAATGATTTTTTTCAGACAACAGGATAAAATTGAGGCTGGCCCAACGGTCGATATAAAATAGTTCACTGTTCAGGAAT